TAATAACACCCCCCAGTTATGATACTCCCCCAGTTTCAATACCACCCCCCAGTTATAATACCCTCCCCGTTATGATACTCCCTCAGTTATAATACCACCCGCCCCCGGTTATAATACCGTCTCCGTTATGATACTCCCCCAGTTTTAATACCACCCCCCCAGTTACAATACCCTCCCCGTTATGATACTCCATCAGTTATAATACCCTCCAGTTATGATACTCCCCCAGTTTTAATACCACCCCCCCAGTTACAATACCCCCTCCATTTGAAGACTATTCTCTCCTTTATATGGGTGACTCTGGTACTGCAGACACCTCAAACAGATCCACCGCTGGGCACATGACCAGATACACACGCTCTTCCTGGCCTCCTGCTCTCTGCTGCCCGTCACACAGGCACATTTGGCCATGCTGCACATTTACATTTCATTCACTTAGCTGCTCTTTTTCCAGGAGTCCATCATTTGTAATGTGACGATTCACTCAAAGGGGCCGTAAATAACTAACATACTGTACACAAAGAAAAATCCACGCTCAAGGAAGACAGTATTACAGAAACATGACTTCCTCTTAGCGTCGCTGGACAAAAACGTTTGAAATCTGTTATCTTAAAAACCGTTGATAAGAGGATTTCAGACATACTGCACGTCATAAGCATGAAATAAACCTTACGGGAAAATTTTGCATACATGATATTTAATACAATTAAAATGTAAACACTTAATAACAGCACTGTATGTGAAACCTTTTCTTATATTTTCTTTCTTTTATATTTTAAACCAACAGAACAGTCATTAGAACATTCCCCAGTGAGAAATGATTAAAAGAAAATGGCATATCTGTAGCTTGTATATGTCACTGGTCATCTGTACTTGCCCTTTCCTCATGGATAATTAAACTCTGACATGAAATGAAATGAGACATCAGCATGACCCTTAACCCCGCTGTGGATGAATGGATCTGTACTGAAGCGATTCCTATTTCTCCCTCTGCCGTCACATTCGCGTTTTGCTGTGGCCGGTCAATTCAGGGCTTCTGATAGGCTGGGATCCGAAAGTGGACAGGAAGTCAGTGACTCGGCACGCCGAGGCCTGTGAGTCCTGCCTGCCCTCGACTGGGGGAGGGGGCCGCCGTATCAGCTGTCGGTGGGCTGTGTTCCTGTGGGCCGCAGATAAGCCACCCCGCGGGCCTCACCTTAAATGGTCAGCGCTCAGTGCCGGCACGTGCGCCCCCTCCGCTCCCCAGCCCGGGCAGAGCACAGGGTGGGGCCTCTCACAGCCGGCTCTGCCCCAAATGAATAACTTCAAAGGCGCGGCCGGACTTCCTGGGGCCTGTCTCTCCCTCTCTGGGCTCTCGGACGCTTCCATTTCTAATGACAAGCAGATCTGAAGCCATCTTACCACGGCTGCCACTGAAAGGCATGTTTGAGGATCTGTGTCAACCCTGTGACAAGGAGCGCCTTCTTCACATGGACCAAAGGACGCTGGGGTCCGGACTGAGCTTTGACTCCAGGGTTCTGCTTATGGCTGTATTAATTTGAGTGATATACTCATCAACAGAACCAAAAAAGGAGCGAAAACACTCAGAGACAGAGCCAAAAACCGTATCCCTGCATCAATACAACTCCAGACAAAAGCAGTGTATTTAGCAGACTATAAAAACAAATGACTTCCTTTAATATCAACTCCAGTACAAATGAAGCTGTTTACATGAAGCAGCACTTCCTGTGAAAGTTTGCCCTGTCCCCAGTGACATAACACTCGATTTTATACCCTTACATGAATTACTGCAAAAAACTGGATTAAAATGCTCTCTCCCACTGAAAGTGTTTTCTGGAATATCCAAGGTAGTGGTGGCCCTTCATTGCCACACAGGCGATGTTATACTGACATTGTCTATAGATCCTGGTTGCTTTAACTGGACCGTGTGCTTTGTGGGGCAAAGGAGTCTGGCTGTTTTGGGAGCCGATACAATATGTACACACCCTGAGTGTGAGGAGAGGTGTGGCCGTGCTGGGGGGGCAGGGGGGCTGAAGGATCTGTCTGGTTATCTCTGAGCCCAGGTTTTTTCAAACTTGCCAACTACCCCCCCCCCCCACACACACATGTGCACCCTCCCGACTACAGCCCTCTATTCACACCCGTGTCTGACGTGGATATCACTCCAGCAAGCCGTTCACTGACTAACAGTCTATACCGCAGCCTGCATTGTGACACACTTCTGCTCCCTGTCTATACCGCAGCCTGCATTGTGACACACTTCTGCTCCCTGTCTATACCGCAGCCTGCATTGTGACACACTTCTGCTCCCTGTCTATACCACAGCCTGGATTGTGGTATAGACTGTTTGCCAGAAATGGTGCAGGATTCCTGGTTCCAGTCGGGTTCTGGTACAATTATGTGGAAACTAAGAAGATGACTCATGTCTAGTTTTAGGTGCAAGGTGGTGACACACCTGCAGGGTGCGCTAATGATGACATTATGCCGCGCTGTAATTACAACGCTAGAAACAAGCTTTATTGACTGGTTTCACTGGGGCTTTGGACAGCCAAAGCACAGCAGATCCACTGATTGAGGTTTGGACTAATATAGGCCAGTCTTCCTAGTTTTCATCCAGTAGGGACACTCTGTTAGAAATACAGGCATATCCAGGATCCAAAAAGTAGGAAATAGTGCTGGTATATTCCATACACCTTGTGCTGAAAAACATTCATACTGCTTAGAGAAGAAATCCCCAATACCGAATACGGTAAGTCATGATAATCTTTAAAAGGTAGGATGTGAATATTTAGGAGAATATAGTTAATTCAATTCCAATGAGGTTCACCTCCTAAGAGTTATTCTCTCATGATGCTCAGATGTGGTTGGGGTGGGAGGAAGTCAGCATCACTCCAAAGGCCTTCATGACTTCATGATATTAATTTTTGTCCATATTCAATGAGTTGTAGGGTTTGGTATCTGCCTGGATGACTTGCCTATTGATACACCAATAATCCTTTAATTATTACTCCTGAAGTAATTCTGCTTCAAAAGGCAGCTGCAGGTTTGTGGACCCTATCAGCTTCTGTTTGGAAGCTGCCGGCTTCCAGTGACAACGCTGTTTTAAAAAACAGATCCTGGCTTCGCGGGTTTCCTCAGAACAATGCTGTCACTATTTTAGGAAGCCTCCTACCTTAACTCGGGACTTAAAATTAGATGGTATTCATCAATTCTTCTCCATAAGGTATCGCAGGCAGAAATATCTCCATCTCCTTTTATGGGGGCGTATTGATTTAATTTGTGGAGGCTTCGGCTCAGGGAATGGAATTGATGATGATAACCTCCAGGCCAAATTTAACACTAGTGCAGCAGAGACAATGAGTCAGATGGGATTGCCGGCTGTACTAGAGCTGAACTCTGTAGGTGAGGCACTGCATCCTGATGGCACTATCAGGACTGGAGTTAAATATCTGTCCTACAGATCACCCCCGATGTTCACTGTATCTCGGTGACACCTACTGCAGTATTCGCTCTCAGTTCGGTCTTGTGGGGGGATGGTAGGTACTATTCTAATTAATGCCTGTGTGACTAGGGATCAAGGGAATTAACAGGATAGAGAATTCCTACAAATCACACCGCCGAGCTTCGCAAGCAGCCAACAATGCTGACATGTTACTGGGGAGAAGCCCGTGCTGCTAACATGACCGAGGACAGCAGGCAGTGTGACATGTGACTGAGGACAAACGCCAGTGTGACATGTTACTGAGGACAAACGCCAATGTGACACGTGACTGAGGACAAACGCCAATGTGACATGTTACTGAAGACAGCTGCCAATGCTGACACATGACTGAGAACAGCTGGAAATGTGACATGTGACTGAGGATAACTGGTACCGCTGACATGTTACTGCAGACAGCTAGCAATACTGACACGTTACTGAGGAGAGTCAGTGCCTCTAACACTATCTAACACGTCACTGAGGGCAGCTGGAGATGTGATAGATGACTGAGGACAGTCAGTAACTGAGGACGTCCGGCGCCTCTGACACGTGACTGAGGACGGCGAGCAGTACAGACATGACTGAGGACAGCCACTGCCACTATCACGTGACTGAAGATATTCAGCACCTCTGACATGTCACTGAGGGCAGCTGGCAATGCTGACATGTGATTAAGGACAACCTGTGCCAACGTCATGCCACTCAGGACCCGAGTCCCGGAGCACCTACCTTGAGGAGGCGATCTCCACTTTGGTTCTGGCGATGGCTGCCGCCCGCTGTGCCCCTTCCACGGCCCGGTCCACCTTGCCTTTGGTTTTTGGATTCTTCAGCGGGATGAGTTGCTTCCTCACGCCGCGCACTAACACATTGTTTTTGTACTTCCCCTCCTCCTTGGTGCCGTCCGGAAAGGTGGTGCAGCCGTAGCCGTGGCGCCGGTTGTTGATCCACTCGCCCTCGTACCTCATGCCGTTGGAGCGCTCGCTGACGCCGAAGCCGTTGCGCTTGTCATTCTTCCACTCACCCATGTAGGACTCGGTGGTGGTGGCGTCCACGTGATCCTCCTGGGGGTAGTAGTCGTCGGGCAGGTCGCCGTCGCCCAGGCTGATGGTGGAGTTGGCGTCGCTGGAGCTGATGCGACTCATGGTGGCGTCGCTGCGGGCCGAGCTGCGCTTGCTCGATATCGACGTCCTCGAGTCGGACTTGCGCAGCTGCCGCAGGCTGCCGAAGAGCGAGCCGCGCCGGAAGAGGCCCTTCCGCTTGCCCGTCACCACCTCGCTGTCGCTGTGGAAGTTGAGGACGAAGCCCCCACGGCTGCTGGCGGGGGTGTCGGCTGAGGCGACGTCGTACAGGACGGTGCCGTTGCTCTGTTCGCTGCGCAGGGAGGCCAGCGAGGTGCGGAGGGGCGAGCGGATGACGGTGGCCATGCCGTACGGCACGCTTTGCCGCACGCCGTAGCCGTGCCGCATGCCGCCCATCCACTGGCCCTGGTAGGTACCTGCCATAGGGACAGAGAGAGGTCAGCTTTATTAAACACACACTCAGGTATCTCCCTCAATTAACTACTCATGCTCCCTGTCAGTATAGTACAGTATAGTGCCACATAGTACAATATAGTGTCACATAGAATATAGTACAATATAGTGTCACATAGAATATAGTATAGTATAGTGCCGCATATCACAATATAGTACAGTATAGTGCCGCATAGTACAATATAGTACAGTATAGTGCCGCATAGTACAATATAGTGTCACATAGAATATAGTATAGTATAGTGCCGCATATCACAATATAGTACAGTATAGTGCCG